GGTCACAACTCAATTACAGCGAGTCACAGTCACAATTTTAATTGGTCGCACTCAATTACACGTACAAAATAATCACAGTCACCTCCAACCCCATATTGCAGGCACGCCCAACACCCACCGTTTCACGCACGTACAAACTAATCGGGACCACCAACAATCACAGACACCAATAACCACTCACAAAATAATCAGTGTCACATCCAACCCCATCTCCCTGGCGCGACCGACACTGCACCCAACACCGCACATCACCACCCTCAATAATGCCAAATCCACCAACTCCCTAACGACAGATCCACCACCAACAATGCCAGATCTACCACACAACCGCACCCAACCACAGTTACCACCAAATCTACAAAATTGCCGCCATCTCCACAACGCCATTACCAGAACTAAAACATCGCAACATATCCAGTACCAGAACGCCATCGCAGATCCGAACCTTCATGGAGGATGAAATCCTGTAAATCAGAACATCAAGTCTCCCCAACATCGTCGTGTGGAGCTTCTCCATCTTGTGGCGGTACCGTGCCGAGGTCTTGGGAATTGATGCGACGGAGAAGCGGCTATGTGCGGAGAAGAGAGTGAGGAGAGAGAACACGGTGAGACAAGATAAGAGGATGAAAATATTTTGATTAGGGTTTGGGTAATTATATTTATAATATATATAATTATAATGTTGTTATGAAAAAAGAGAAAAGATAAGAGAATAAGATAAGTCAATAAACTTATGTCTATTATAATGAGAACCAAAATCCTATATTTATAGGGAATGAATAGGGATACATATGGTAATAATATCTAGGGCTGCAGGGTTACAAGTGTCATTCACGTTAAATCCTAATTTACTTTCTTTTTACAATACTCCCCCTTTAATGACACATTATAAAATATCTGCCTCGTTAAAACCTTATTTAANAAAAAAACACAAAAGAAAAAAAAAAAAAAAAAAAAAAAAAAAAAAAAAAAATCAAAACGAAGGAAAAAGAGTACATTATTTTGGAGTATTAAAGATAAATGCCGCCTTATTAAAATCTTGCTAGGAAAATCCAATCGGATAAAACTTAAGTGAAGGAAAAAGAGTACAACTACTCCCCCTGATGTTGATCACTGAAAATCTTTGAGATAACGTATTCCAATCCCGTGAACCAATTTCTTGAATGTAGATGTGGCAGAGTTTTTGTAAATAAATCAGCCAAATTGTCACTTAAACGAATTTGTTGAACCTCGATGTCGCCATTCTTCTAAAACTCGTATGTATGAAAGAATTTTGAAGAAATATGTTTCGTCATGTTGTAGCTATGTCAATGAGTCGAGCCGAAAAAAAAGCTTGTGCTCAGCTCTATCTTTTTTGAGCCCGAGCCTAGTCGAGCTAAGCCTGGCCAAAAAAAATGAGGCTGGCCCGAGCTTTTGACCCAGCCTTAGCGGGCCAGCCGGTTTGAGTTTTTTTTTTTTTAATTGAATTGCTCCCTGCCTATTGAATTTAATTTTAATTTTTTTAATAGGGCAGGCTTGCCTGGGCCATGGGCCGGGTTCGAGCCGATGCCCCAAAATGGGGTTCGGCCCGAGCCGGGTTGCTCGGTGATCCCGAGCCACGAGCCGACTCGGCTCAAACTTTTCGCGGCCCGAGCCACGGGCAGTCCGAGCCGACAAGCCACTTTGACATGCCTTAATTTGACCCATGTTTGGTGGGAATTAAAGAATAATATTATTATGATAATGAAATATAAGTGATGTGGTAATTTATATGGAATAATGAGATTGGACAATTCAAAATTTATGAGTGGAGGGGAAAATAGATAAATGAGAGGGATAATAGATTGTTATATTATCGATATTCCATCATGATAATGATAAAGAGCATTACCTAGGATTAAAATCACATTTTTAGTAATTTTTAATAAAAATTGATGAAATATGTTGTTGAAAAATTGTGAATCCTATAAAATATGTGATTAAAATTAATTTTTAACTTTAATTTAGTTTAAAATTTTAATTTTAATCAGCACCAAAAAGGGGCTAAACATGAAAATTTGATCACAAAAAACCCGTGCTCCACAGCATCCCAACCCAAATGAAAAATATATTGTATGTATGGAAAATATGATTAGTTTATCAAAGATCTTCGGGATCCACTCTTGTATAAACAAACATAGGCTTTGGTCTTTTGGTCCGTAAACTACGGTAAAGTGTCATCCTTGATATCTTGGTAACCTTATGACACTTCAAATATGAGGCACCCGTGAATATTAAACCCCTGTTTGATATAACATATTTTTATAAAAGTTGATAAAACGTGTGGTTGAAAAGTCATGAGGCATATGAAATATGTGATTAAAACTAATTGTTGATTATAATTGAAAAAAATTAAATACAATTAAAAAACAATTGAACATAATCTAAACAATTGAAAGATAAAATAAAAGATTTAAATTTCAGTATAAACATAAAAATGAAAAATGTGAATAATAAGTGGATCGGAAAATTTTCAAATCAGATTACATAACACATAGAGAAACATTAGTTTAATTAGAACATTCATCAATTCAATGATACTAAAAAAGTGAAAAAAAAAAAAGGACAAATAAAATTAAATGCAAGAATCTAGAGAGAGAAATTGATACCAATATCTCTAGCAGCAGCTCCTTGAATAAGTGTGTAAGATTCACCATGAGAGTATTAAAAAAAATTAATAATCATAAATTTTGAAGAGAGAACAATGAAATTTTTTTTCTTGTTATGAAAAAAGAAAAATGATGATAAATGGTCAAATTAATCATATATAGAAAAAGTAATGATTGTGATATATTTATGTGATGCATAAATGTACGTTATAAGTTTTATGCCATTTATATGATTTTTTTAGAGATGTTTGTATTTTCAAAATATATTAGTTTATTGTGTTTGTTTATGATAATTCTAATTTAAAGAATTTCTTAATTATAATTTTCCCTTTTGTTCAACTAATCAATTAATTTTACATAATTTGGAGCTTTCATCAAAGCGGGACCTTAGACGATCGTTTATGCCGCCTATAGTTAGGGTCGGCCCGCTAAAGTGCTTAGTCCTTTTGGGGTGATTTTGCGTGCGTATAATCAAAACTTTTTGAATTATCAATTATTAGATTACGAGTATCCTTGTCATGTATATCTAGGTTAATCGATGTGCGCGATTATTTGGGTGACTTTTTGGTTTGATTTTTGAGCATATTGCAGTTTATCCTAATTACTGGATAAATATTTCAACTTATCATGAGTTGACATTTTTACTTGGATTTTCATTTAGCCTCCGTTGGTAGGTATTATCTATGGCAAGAATGCATTTTTCTGTCAAATCAAGCGGGCTCTACCGCTGGCTTTCTCTGCTGAATTACTATAATGCCCTTTTGTGAAATTTGGCAAGTGAGTGGGTAAGATTTGATTGAGGGTAGAATGGAGAATGTTTACAAAATTATTCAAAGTGAGGGCACATGTTCTGTCAGACGGGGTTCTCTTGAAAAATGTCTACAAATTGGCAAGAATTGGTATCAAACAGAGGCTTATATTAGAATCATTAAGAAGCCTCGTGCTTAATATTTGCTTTCAAACGTAAAGGATTTTATGATTTTCGTTATATACAATCTTAAAAGTGATTATCAAATTTTAGCATTGCTGTGGTTATAACAGTATAAACCAGATTTTTCGTAAATATTTATTTGCGAACTTTCTATTCACCAAGTAAAGAGCTATAAAAGTGAGTTTTGAGCAGCTTTGAAGCATGTTGATTCATTGAGTTTAATCACGTGATATAATTAGTCCGTACGAATAGTAATTTCATCAAGGAGCTAATGTTCGTCACGTGGATTAAGCTGCATTTTCTATAAATTCATGTACGTTTGGATTTTTTCTGTAAAAGTAGTAAAATGATCGAGTTTGTAATATATATCTTGATTAGCATGCATTAGAGGGATATATATATGTTTGAGAAATTTTGCTGCATTCATATTTGGTTTAGTCCAAATTATAGGAGGAACTTTGTATCAACTTAAATATCATTAAATCCCGTTCTAATCATAACACAATTTAAAATCAATAAATCTCCCATTCCATGTAGCAATGACAAATTACAAAAGAATAGCAACGAAAAACTCACGCTAATTGCAACATCTTGAACATAGAAAATTTCATTATCTTATTCTCAATTTAAGTTGCTAATTTTAATAACGCTCGATACACATAAAAAAATTCAAGAAATTTTTATTTCTTAGATGGCAAAATATATTTTATTGATATATCCCTTTAATCCTCTGAAAAGTGCAAAATTACACATCAAACACAAGCTGGCCAAATATTAATTTGCTAATTTATAACTAACATCAAATAAGTTCTTTACCAACAAATACTCAAAACGTGCAAATTTCGTCTACGAAGTTCAAGTTCATTCAAGTTTATATTTTTCGAGTCAAAATCAAGTTTGCAAAGCAAGTTTTATTGTGCTTATCGAATGTTTTAAGAATTTTTTTTGTCTCAATGTTTGAATTACTTGTTAGGCTCGTGTTCAATTTTTTCTTTTATTTTTTGCTAAAATTATAAGTCAATAAAAATGAATTTTAAATAAGTTAGTACTTCTGGGTCTTACAAAATATGTATTTAAATCATCCCCTATTTGGTCAAATCACAAGCGAAATTATCGTACTTTGTCACACAAAGGAAATGATATGGCAAAAAGCAAACAAAACAATTAAACAATGTCCTGATATTTTTGCTTTCCCTTTCCCTTTTCCCAGTCCAAATACATATTATTCATTTACTCTCTAGTTATTTCAGATCAGGATACAAATAGCAGCCACTTAAAGATCACGAACAGCTACTTCAAAAGGTCAAATATATTCTACGAAAGAGAAGAGAACCAACCATTTTGCTTCTGTCATACATCAATGCTGGGAAACCAGACCTCAAATACAAGGAACTTAAAATAGTGCGATAGTGAAGATCATTTCGGAGCAGTATATGCACATTTCATTCATTCTTCATAAGCAAGATGAAAAGCTCATCATCAGTTATCGCTCCCATCTCCATAGCCCTTTCCAAAGCTGTGAGGCCACCGTCATCCTTGATTGAGGCACTCGCACCTCTGTACGACATACACGTAACATACGACATAATTAGGCTATGGCAAAGAGCAAAAAAACAGAAGAAAGAAAGTCCAAGATTCAAGACGACTCAGTTTTTAATCTGCTGTCTTTTAGTTTTTTTAGTCACTGGAGGCAAAAAGTTATGACTATTCTTGCTGAAAACATCTAGCAAATATGATCTAAATACGTTAAAAACGCATTGGGGATACGAGTAGATTTTCACTACTGATATTTTAGAAACAGGTAACTGCATTTATTCATAAATCTGGGTGAAAAGCTTCACAAGTATTTATACATTATACAAAAAAAAAACTATACAACTTTATCCTCAACCTGGAAAAAGAATCGTTATATGAATATTCTTATAGCAAAACACAACAGAGCAAAACTGAAAATAACATTCAACCAATGAAATATTTCAGTAAGATATTTTAGAAAGCTTCTGTAAAAATTAATGGATACAGAAATTGATGAACATACGATTGAAGAATGTAATAATGTGGAAGATACAAAATGTGATGAACTAGAAAGTAGAGGTACCAAAGGAGAAAGGAACTCGAAAATAGGAGCAGCCAAATCAATTTCACAGGGCTTTCAATTAAATTAACATGTTATAATTACTACCGTCTATTAATCCCAATAATTTTATGTAAAAAAGATTAATGCATATTGGCCAGCTATGAGACGCTCCTACAACTATTAGAAAA